TATTCCTTGTACATATATCTTACATCTTCTTAAGATAGTTATTTGTTGATGGGCACTATTCTATTTCCTGGATGACTTATTGTTTCTTCTGTGTCATTTAGTTAGCTATTCATTGCTTATAAATTGCTTCTTATCTCAAGTTGAATTCTTATTTTCATTGGTTTATCTTATATAATTTCTAACTACATGTTATAGTGATCAGTGTTTTTCTTTATAACTTTTTATTAATTTAATTAATACTTTTATTACCTCCTTTAAAAGCTCAGTACCTGGTAGACTGGTGATGCCTATTTCATCACTTCATCATTTCATCAAGGGATTTCTCTTGCTGTTTTAATGGGAGTGTTTCCTCTTTTTCATTTCACTTAACATTGTCTCTCTGAATTTAGGAGAAACAGTTCTGTTTTGTGGTCTTGAAGGGGTGTTTTTATGTGTGAGTATCCCTGTGTAGACTGCATGTTTTCAATGTCTTTGGTATGCAGGCTGATTTAGAAATGGATGTCCATCATGACTTCCATCAGGGTGTGTGTGCTGGCTGTTATCACCTTGATGGGGGCATTGTTGCTGCTTAAGTGTTTAAAACCCAGAAGGATGTAAGGTGGGATTCCCTTTCTGCTCCAAGCTGTTGCCACCCTATCACAGGCAGGGTCTATTCACTGCTTGCTGGAGTAGAAGCCCTGAGAGTTAGGCTTGATCAGGCTATTTTCATAATTATTTTCCTTTCACCATGGATGGAGAGTACTGAAGTCAGTGAGGTGTGTGTGCTCACAGAGGTCCTATACACCACCTGTGTATGCATGCTCATGTGCAGCCTAAGCTTATATCCTTCCCCTTGTGTGGTTGACCCAGATATAATATAAGTTTGTCATGTGGAGTAGATGGGGCCAGAGTACTTGGCCAGCTGGGAGAGGGACTATTGCACACTCATCATGCTGACTTTTGAGACAATGCCTAAGTGTCAACATTGGTGGTGGTCACCTCTTCCAAACCACACTCAAGGTCTCAAGCATTCTCATCATAGCTATGGAGAAACTATAGCCTTGACTATGCAGATCTTTGTTAGCAAATTGATGCTTCTGCTTTTGAATACATTGTAGGTTTCTCATAGCTTTCTTTTCAATGAGCAAGCATCTTTTAATTTCAAGGCTGTAGTCACCATCCAAGAGAAAACAAATTATGTCACTGCTTCCACTTTTTCCCTTCTATTTGCCATGAACTGATGGGACTGGATGCCAAGATCTTAGGATTTTTTAACTTGAGTTTCAAGCTACCTTTTTCACTTTCCTCTTTCACCCTCATCAAAAGGTTCTTTAATTCCTCCTCACTTCCTGCCACTGGAACAGTATCATCTGCATCATTGAGGTTATTGATATTTCTCCCAGCAATCTTGATTCCAGCTTAGGATTTATCCAGCCTGGTATTTCACATATTGTACTCTGCTTATAAGTTGAATAAGCAGGTTGACACCATACAGCTTTGTTACACTTCTTTACCAAATTTGAATCAATCAGTCGTTCCATGTCTGGTTCTAACTGTTGCTTCTTGACCTGTATGCAGGTTTCTCAGGAGGCAGGTAAGGTGGTCTGTTACTCCCATCTTTTTAATAATTTTCCACAGTGTGTTGTGATTCACACAATCAAAGGCTTTTGCATAGTCAATGAAGCAAAAGTTTTTTTTCGGAATTCCCTTGCTTTGTCTATTATCCAATGAATATTGGCAATTTGACCTCTGGTTTCTCTGCCTCTGCAAAACCCAGGTGTACATCTGGAAGTTCCTGGTTCATGTACTGCTGAAGCTTAGCTTGAAGGATTTTTTAGCATAACCTTACTAGCATGTGAAATGAATGCAACTGTGCAGTAGTTTGAAAATTCTTTGGCATTGTCTTTCTTTGGGATTGGAATGAAAACTGACATCTTTCAGTACTGTGGTCACTGCTGAGTTTTCCAAATTTGCTGATGTATTGAGTGCAACATTTTAACAGCATCATCTTTTCAGATTTTAAATAGCTCAGCTGGAATTCCATCACCTCCACTAGCTTTGTTCACAGTAATGCTTTTTAAGGCCCACTTGACTTCACACTCTAGAATGTCCAGCTCTAGGTGAAAGACCACACCTTCATGGTTACCCAGATGTTTGTGACCTTTTCTGTATAGTCTTCTGTGTAATCTTGCCACTTCTTAATCTCTTCTGCTTCTGTTAGGTCCTTACCATTTCTGTCTTTTATCATGCCCATCCTGGCGTGAAATGTTCCCTTGATATCTTCAATTTTCCTGAAAAGCTCTCTAGTCTTTCCCATTCTATTATTTTCCTCTACTTCTTTGCATTATTCAATTAGGAAGGCCTTCTTTTCTCTCCTTGCTATTCTCTGGCACTCTGCATTCAGTTAGGTTTATCTTTCCCTTTCTCCCTTGCCTTTTGCTTCTCTTGTTTCCACAACTATTTGTAAAGCCTCCTCAGACAACACCTTGCCTTTTTGAATTTCTTCTTCTTTTTGCTGACTGTATAGAGCTTATTCATCTTTGGCTGCAAAGAACATAACTTGATTTCAGTATTGACCATCTGGCAATGTCCTTGTGTAGAGTTGTCTCTTGGGTTGTTGGAAAGGGGTGTTTACTATGACCAGCTTGTTCTCTTGACAAAACTCTGTTAGCCTTTTCCTGCTTCATTTTGTACTCCAAGTTCAAACTTGTGTGTTAGTCCAGATTACTCTTTTGAGTTTCTACTTTTGCATTCTAATCCCCTATGATAAAAAGGACATCTCTTTTTGGTGTTTGTTATAGAATTGGTTGTAGGTCTTCATAGAATCAGCGAACTTCAGCTTCTTTGGCATCAGTGTTTGGGGCATAGACTTGGATTATCTGAAGTTGAGTAGTTTGCCTTGGAAGCAAATTGAGATTATTCTTCACTTTTAAGGTTGCATCCAAGTACTGCACTTTGAACTCTTGTTGATTATGAGGGCTACTTTGTTCCTTCTAGGGAGGGGTTTTTGCCCGCATAAGTAGATATAATGGTCATCTGAATTAAATTCACCAAACCCATTAATTTTAGCTCACTAGTTCCTAAGATGTTGATATTCAGTCTTTCCATCTTTAGCTTGACCATATCTCATTTGTCTTGATTCATGGACCTAACTTTCTGGGTTCCCTTGCAATATTGTTCTTTAGAGCATCAGACTTTACTTTCACCACCAGAAACATCCACAATTGAGTGTTGCTTCTGCTTTGGCCCAGCCATCCATTCTTTCTGCAGCTGTTAGTAATAGCTCTCTTCTCTTCCCCAGCAGCATATTGGACACCTTCTGACCTGTGGGACTCATCTCCTAGTGTCACATCTTTTTGCCTTTTCATACTGTTTATGGAATTCTCTTGGGAAGAATACTGGCATGAACTGCCATTTCCCCCTCTAGCAGACTTTATTTTGTTAGAATGCTTCACCGTGAGTCATACAGCTTAGGTGGTCCTACATGACATGGCTTATAGCTTCATTTAGTTATGCAAACCCCTTTGTGGCAACAAGACTGTGATCCAGGAAAGGGGTATTAATTCTACTTTTCTTAAACAATGTGTCAACTATCTAAAGAGGTTCTGTTGAAAATTCTACAGTAAATTTTCCTATAATTTCCAAAGTCTCAATGTTTCAATTTATTTTTACTCTCAATTATGCCTTAGGCTAAAGAATATCATATAATGTGAATTATGGTCCTCTTGATTAATAAGACAAGAATGTGTTTCCTCACCTGTACCACTTTAATCATAAACTGTTTTCCTGGTGCACATTTTTCATAAGTGATCTCAGATTGCTTTCATTTGATTCAGTGATTTTTCCTAAAATTTGTAATTTTTGTATTGTGCTCATTGTTTCTGATTATGTCAGTCATAGTGGGCCTAGGTTTAAATAAAATGTTTTTTTCTTTTTCTATATTATTTCCTGTAATGATAAAGGATTGCTTATGTATAAGTGTTGTGGGAGGGACAAGGCAATAGTGCCTTGATGAAAGAGGCAAAAGAATGATAAATACTGATCTAAAGTGTAATTCAAAATATATTATAGTGTAGTAGTATTTAACTCATTCTGTGTTCAACAAACCCAAGGAATATCACATCATATCTGCAAGTAGCTAAGTGGTGTTGTGTACAGTTTCATAAGAATATATATAGATTTAGATATGAATATAGATACAATCTGTAGATACATTCAGGTTCATTAGGAGAGAATGAAAATTCATTAAGTCCCTTTATATAGTCCCTATATATAGTACAGGTTATATATTTTCTTAGTATACACTTGAGAACTTACATTCATTATCAAAGGAGTGAAAATAATAGGTGGCTAAAAAGTTTATGAGAAAAGAGCATTAGGTCATGAAATTAAAGATTTTTGCAAATATCTCCATTTTACAATAGGAAGTAGGTAGTAGTTGCTGTATTTCTAATTCCACAAACACTCTTCTGGGAAATGAGTTAAATTGGATGAAGTCAAATGTCTTGCCATAACTTTAAGAAGTGATACTGAGGCTGGATGTGCAATAAAATGAAGAACTGTTAATGGCCTCTCAAATAAAACTAAAAGATATATCTTTTTACAGAATTCCAATTATTGAGCAATTTCTATAGCAAGGAGAAACTAAAACTTCTACATCAAAATGAAGTTAAGAATTCTGAATATCTACAAAATAATGTGGATGCTATGAGTAGACTTGCTATTGTCCTTGTTTTTACTCTCAGTATGTTAAACACTTACATTTGTTAACTTCTTCTTAGTATAATTTTAGAATTAAAGTAATAAATTTCAATATATAAGCTTATAGTTTTATTTTCATTTATTTTTTTGCCAGTGTTTTTCCTTGGCAAGCCATATATCTAACTCAGGTAGAAAATCCCTTGAAAGTGAAGTTTGTATTTTGTCACAAGAGGATGGGAAATTATTCATAATTTCTCCTACTAGAATAAACTGGAGGAGTGCTATCTATGGGGCAAACTTGCTTGAGGTATCAGAAACAGCTAGTCTCTTTTCCCTTTCTTTCCTTTGCCAGCAAACTTCCAGTAACAAAACAGGCAACACTTTGTGATGACAAATGCAGCAGTTGCCACACAGGCCAGCAGGAACCCGATCACGTCCAGAGAGTGGTACTGGAGCCAGGTGAGGTCATGGGCGGCTGGCCTCAGGTGCTTGGCTCCTTTGTGGCGCATGACGAACTCAATCCAGAAGACTGCTCGGTCCAGGGGCTTTACAGGCTGATCATGCTGAATGGCTGATAACCTCATCACATTCTCTTTGTAGCTGAAGGAAAATCAAATAGACATCGATATATAGAATGAGCTATAATTGAAAATTTGTGAAATTTTCTTGCAGATGGAAACAAAGAATGCATCACAGACTTAAAGAAAAATAGATAATTTTCTTGTGGAGTGATTCTTGAGATCTTAGCTTAAGAGCTAGGACTTCTTAAATGTATAGCATTTCAAGATACAAAGGAAAGAAAGAAAATGGGATGGATTTGTGTAGTCTAAAGAATGGAATGAATTAAGTCCTCAAAGGAAAGAAAACAACAACAACAAAAATCAAGATTTGTTGTTCAAAGTTTGAATTATCTAGTAAAGACTGGATATACATATGTTAAAATACTGTCATAATCCAGAGATAGCAGGAAAGTCGATGATGAGGTTCCAAGACATGTCTAGGCAGGGCTGATCTTACTTTAGTGAAGTGGTGTTCCAAAGTGTTGAAGTGGATTGTCTGTGCTTGATTCCTGATTCTGACATTTATCTTGTTGGCTGCTTTTTTAATTCTTTTTATCCCACAGTTTTATTTGCTTTAAGTTTATTAAATTTTAAAAGCTTTGTTATTTTTAAAACTTTTATTTTTATATTGGAGGGGCCATTCATGATATAATCTATTCCTCATTTTTTCATTTTTCTATGGAATAGATAGGACTATTACCCTATCTAATTTTTTTGAGATATTTTGAGAATATTGTATTGATTCTTGGAGGCATTCCTAGCATGTAGTATACTTGCAGTAAATACTTGCTAGCATTGTTGTTGTGGTTCTTGTTCTAAAAGACTCTGGAGAAAGCTCAACATTTTACTTCCAGGAACTGCAGTTACATTCATTTCTACTGTTGAAATGGTAATAGACTAATAGACAAGAAAGAAGGGAGAATAAAGAGATATAGCTCAAGAACTCTAAATCACAAAGTTTTACAAGATGACACTGTAAGCAATGACAATGGAGGCAACGTCTCTCCCTTTTCTGTCAAAACACAGGAGGAGTGCTGTGTTTTTGAGAGGATTGCAGTAATCTGGAAACAGTTTTGTAATTTGATAGGAATAGGCTCCAATAAAGAAGTTACTTAATATGTGTTAAGTAACAGCATGTTTGACTTTTCATTCTGTTCATGGAGTTCTCGAGGCAAGAATACTGGAGTGGTTTGCCATTCTCTTCTCCAGCATACCACTTTTTGTTATAACTCTCTGCCACAACCTGTCTGCCTTGGGTGGTCTTACACAGCATGGCTCACAGCTTCATTGAGTTCACTAGGCCCTTCTCCACAACAGAATGTAATCGATCATTTTTGTTAGCTTTCTGTGATTGTGGTTCTGTTTCTGGAAGCTGTGGGATTGTAGATGTCCTTTTCATGATAGGGAATCGAAATACTAAGTAGGAAGTCAAGAGATACCGGGAGTATTGGGCAAGTTTGGTCTTGGAGTGCAAAATGAAGCAGGGCAAAGGCTAACAGAGTTTTGTCAAGAAAACACACTGGTCATAGCAAAAATGTTTATCCAACAACACAAGAGACAGCTCTACATATGGAAATCACCAAATGGTCAGAATCAAAATCAGACTGATTATATTCTTTGCACTGAAAATGGAGAAGTTCTGTACTCTCAGGGGGAAAAAAAAAGAGAAGAAATACAAGAAGGCAATGTGGTTGTCTGAGAAGTCTTTATAAATAGCTGAGAAAAGAAGAAAAGCAAAAGGCAAGGAAGAAAGGGAAAGATATACCCAACTGTATGCAGTGTTCCAGAGAATGCAAAGTTCCAGGCCATTTAAGTGAACAAAGCAAGGAATCAGAGGAAAACAATAGAATGGGAAAGACTAGAAATCTCTTTAAAAAAAATTGGAGATATCAAGGGAACATTTCATGCTAGGATGGGTACAATAAAGGATAGAAATGGTAAGGACCTAACAGAAGCAGAAGAGATTAAGAAGAGGTAGCAAGAATACACAGAAGAACTATACAAAAAAATATGAATATGACCTGGATAACCACAATGGTGTAGTCACTTACCTAGAGCTTAAAAATCAACATTCAGAAAACTAAGATCGTGGCATCCTGTCCCATCACTTCAGGGTAATTAGCAAGGAAAAAAGTTGAAACGGAGACAGATATTATTTTCTTAGGCTCCAAAATCACTGGGGATGGTGACTGCAGCCATGAAATTAAGAGATGCTTGCTCCTTGGAAGGAAAGCTATAGCAAATATAGACAGAGTATTAAAAAGCAGAGACATCACTTTGCTGACAAAGACCCATATAGCCAAAGTATGGTTTTTCCAGTAGTCATGTACAGACATGAGAGTTGAACCATGAAGAAGGCAGAACGCTGAAAAATTGATACTTTTGAATTGGAGAAGACTCTTGACAGTCACTTGAGGAGACTCAAGTGAGGAGACTCACTTGAGGAGACCAAACTTGCAAGGAGATAAAACCAGTCGATCCTATAAGAAATCAACTCTGAATATTCATTGGAAGGACTGATGCTGAAGTTCTGGTACTTTGGCCATGTGATGCGAAGAGCCAAATCATTGGAAAAGACCATGATGCTGGGAAAGATTGAGGGCAGAAGGAGGAGCGGGCATCAGAGGATGAGATGATTAGACAGCATCACCAACTCAATGGACATGAATTTGACCAAACTCCAGGAGATAGTGAAGGACAGGGAACCCTGGCGTGCTCCAGTCCATCAAGTCACAAAGAGTTGGCTACAACTTAGTGACTGAATAACTACCACAACATCGGTAACAACAGTATGTTACTAAACACAATATGTAGCAGATCATGAATATTCAGTATATAGCAGGTAATAAATCACCTTCATTTTTTGACACCAGTTATACATTATTACGTAAAAATCAATAAAGATACTAGGTAGATGTACATTTATATAAAACCGGCAAATGAAATGTCTATTTCTTTTAAAAAAGGGAAAAATAATGTAATATTTTTGCTGTTCATTTAAATAAGCCATGAAATTAAAAGATGCTTACTCCTTGGGAGGAAAGTTATGACCAAACTAGACAGCATATTAGAAAGCAGAGACATTACTTTGTCAACAAGGTCTGTTTAGTCAAGGCTGTGGTTTTTCCAGTAGTCATGTATGGATGTGAGGGCTCGACTATAGAGAAGGCTGAGTGCTGAAGAATTGATACTTTTGAACTGTGGTGTTGGAGAAGACTCTTAACAGTCCCTTGGACAGCAAGGAGATCCAACCAGTCCATTCTAAAGGAGATCAGTCCTGGGTGTTCATTGGAAGGACTGAGAAGCTGAAACTCCAATACTTTGGTCACCTGATGCGAAGAGCTGACTCATTTGAAAAGACCCCAATGCTGGGAAAGAATGAGGGCAGGAGGAGAAGGGGATGACAGAGGATGAGATGGTTGGATGGCATCACCGACTCAATGGACATGAGTTTGGTTAGGCTCCGGGAATTGGTGATGGACAGGGAGGCCTGGCGTGCTGCAGTTCATGGGGTTGCAAAGAATCGGACATGACTGAGTAACTGAACTGAACTGAAAGTAATATCTTTGCTGTTCATTTAGGACAATAGCTGTGCTAAGATTAAATTTACATAACACTGCTTATAAAACACAGATACACATTGTGCTACTATTACTGACAAATTCTCAAAATGTTTTCTTTGTAAAGACATTATGAATAAAGGGGAAACATATATAACATATTTGTGATATTAATTTAATTGTGTTACTGAAATTCATGTATATTCTGAAGTGATTTGGAAATAAAATATTTTTGGTTTCATAAATTTGACTTTTAAACAGTAATATCTCAAAATACCTCTTTGAGTAAGACAAAAACAAGGACAATGAAAGGAATTCAGAATATACCTACCTTTGTAAATAGTATCTACATAGCTATAATTGAATAAGTTAGAATGTTTTAGTTGTTTACCATTTATCAGTGATAGAATCAAAATATTATTACAGACTTGCAGACATAGAGAACAATTCATTGGTTACCATAGTTGGGGGAGTAGAAATGTATGGGTGGGGGAGTAGAGATGTATGGGTGGGAGAGTAGAAGGCAAAAACTATTGAGAAGTATATAGGCTTAAGGATGCATTGTACAACACTGAAAATAGAACCAATATTTTCTACTAGTTTTAAATGGAAAATAATAGTAAAAATTGTGTAAATTTTTAAAAGAGAACTATCCCAACTTATCACTTCCAAGTCTATTATGTTTAAATTTTATAATTCTTCCAAACAAGACAAAAATAGTAACAATCAAAAAGCCTAAGAATACCCCTAAATTTATAAATAGTATTTTCACAGTTGAAACTGGCTAATCAGAAAGTAATAGCTGTTTACCATTTATCAGTGATTGGGTATAAATATTAGCATAGAAAACTTGGAAAATATTGAAGGTAATGGGAATTTCAGATTGATTATGTCAAGGTTGTTTACTGAAAATAAATTGTTAGAAGAGATTAAAACATTTTTGGAATTCACTTTCTGAAAGAAAGTAAAGTGGACAACTATATTTCCCTACATTAACTTCGTTCTCAATGCTTCTTAATTCTTCTATTAACATTTCAGTGATTCTTCTCATTCTAATGATTAGATCTTTCAAAATTTCTCCACTCTCTTTAAACCATAGACAAACCTTTCCCGTAAAACCATGAAAAAATATTAATGTGACACTAACAATAGGTTGTTGATGACTGAATTGAGTGAATCTTACTCCTCATTGTGTTTATGTGAAGACTAATGAGTCTTCATATGAGAACTTCCCCAGAAAGAGTATCTAGTGAGAAAAATATACTCACGAAGGATTATTAATGACTTCCTTCAATGCATTGAGCAAATCTCCTGTTGACATTGTTTCCAAGTCCAATCTGACAGCTGCTCCCTTGGCCGTCATGTGAACAACGTTATGAGGTTGATCAGCAAACAAAGGAAGGCCCACCATAGGGATCCCATGGTAGATGGCCTCATAAATGCCATTGCTTCCACCATGAGTTACAAAGGCTTTGGTTTTTGGATGACCTAGGATTGAGTGAATTTCAATAAAATTATTAACTTTAAGTCTTAGATATAAATTGAGAAAAGTGCATTATAAGGTAACTGAAGGAAACAGTGTCTTCAATAACAGATTATTACACATATGAAAGTCCTTTTAAATTCCTTTCAGAACTCAGAGAAGTAGCTGCTGCATCTGCTGAAGGGGTAAATGAAGACTTCATGAAAGAAGTGCTGAGTCACTTAGACTTTACAAATGAATCCAGGATTGGCAGATGAACAACTTGAAAGAGGATTCTGGGTAAAAATAAAACCACATATGCAGAAAAAGAGGATGGCATGTCAGAAATTATTCTCTTAAAGATATAGTGGAGTCATTTAGTCTGATTAGGAATGGTGTCAGGGGAAGACAAGGATAATGGTAGAGGCACTGCAACCAGAGGAAGGAAAAGTAACCTTTTATCTTGGAGTGTTTTATCACCTCATAAAAATGATTATGACTTTTTTCTTACAGAAATTGAAGAGTCACTGGTAATAAAAGGAGAGTTCTTATTTTCAGTAGCATTCAGCATACCCCTACAGAGGGGAAAAGATAGATGTGATGAAAGAATTCAGAGACAGAACAACAATACAAGAAGTTATTGAAAAGTTCACAGTGAGAAATAATTACAGCTAAAGATTCTGGTCATAAGGGATATGACCGTGTATGACAAAATGCCAATTGTTATGGGTGTGTATACTCAGTCACTCAGTCTTCTCCAACTCTTTGTGACCCCATGAACAGAAGCTCGCCAGGCTCCTCTGTTCATGGGATTTACAGAGAAAAATATTGAATGGGTGGCCATTTCCTTCTCCAGAGGATCTTGGGGACCCATGGATAGAACCCACTTCTCCTGCATCTCTTACATTGGCAGGCAGATTCTTTACCACAGAGCAGACTGGGAGGCCCTGTCAAGTGTCCGCATTTTCCCCCAGCATAGTAAATAGAAATAAAGCAGTAAAGTTTTCTTTTTGAGTGTTTTGATAATTCTCTATATATTTGTTTCCCATTGAAGTACTATTACTCAGCTCAGCTGTTATTCATGTTTTCAATATTTTTTTCCTGCCAAGTCTTACCAAGAAGGTCGTTTTGGGGGATCCACTTAAACAGCTGAGTATTGGGCCCTAGAGTGTCTGGTTTCTTGCCATCGAATCTCCATAGAACCTGTTAAGGTAAAGGTAATACCTTATTCTATGAGTTGAATTTCAAAGTTACAGCATTAGAATTCTAAAGCAATCAGGACACATAATTACATATCTTCAATGTGACATGTAAGGAAATGAGGACATATTAAGTAATGATAACTATTAATACACTAACATAAATAGGAATATGTACATTTGATATACACGTGATGGCAAAGACAAATGAGATTTTCAGTGACCAATTCAGATACTTAAAAAATTACTAGATGGATTTGTTTTTAGTATAAAAAGATAGTTTGTTGGTTTCAGTCACTAAGTCATATCCAACTCTTTGTGACCCCAATGGACTATAGCCTGCTAGGCTCCTCTGTCCATGGGATAGATAGTGGCTGATTTCAAATAACCTACACACTTATTTGCCTTCTTTATATACTAGCTCTCATTTTCAAATATTCACTCATTTATTTCTTTTTGGCTGTTATGGAAGAGATTTTATCAACTTTACATATAACAAGTTATTTTATTAGAATTTCACATATTTTGATTACAAAGAGGAAAATGCGTGAATTGGCCACTTAAGAGAAATAAATATTTTTGCTTATTTATAAATTATTAATAAGCTAATTACTGTTGCCTAGAAAGTGTACTTCATTTAGATTACAATTTTTGAGCACTTCTTCCAAAAACAATGATAACTGTAAAATTTTGACATGAATCCAAGGTACTACCACTATTACAAGGTTTAGAATGCTTTACCTTTGGAAAAGAAGAGCCAGTTGGTAATTTGTGACAAAAGACTGTTGAAAAAGTTCTAAAACTGTGACTTTAAATCTTATTCAACTGATCCTGGAAACTTCAGCATTGAAGCACAAAGCGTTGACTTCATTGATTAATGTGGTCTCTAGGTTCAGTCTCTAGGTCTCCTGGGCTTTCCTTGTAGCTCAGTTGGTAAAGAATCTGCCTACAATGCAGAAGACCCGGGTTTGATTCATGGGTTGGGAAGATCCCTTGGAGAAGGAAACAAAAGCCCACTCCAGTATTCTTGCCTGGAGAATCTCATGGACAGTAGCCTGCCAGGCTCCTCTGTCCATGGGGTTCCAAGAGTTGGACACAACTTAGCAACTAAACCATCACCACCAGGTCCAGTGCTAAAATAAGGAACAATTTTGGAATACCAAGCAATTCTCATAAACTGGATTATAATTTGCTAGTGTTTAACTTCTACTTCCCTGGGCTTAGATGGTGGCTTAGATGGTAAAGCATCTGCCTGCAATGCGGGAGACCCGGGTTCGATCCCTGGGTTGGGAAGATCCCCTGGAGAAGGAAATGGCAATCCACTCCAGTACTCTTGACTGGAAAATTCCATGGACGAAGGAGCCTGGTAGGCTACAGTCCATGGGGTCGTAAAGAGTCGGACATGACTGAGCAACTTCACTTCACTAACTTCTACTTGCTCTGTGAATGAATGTAAAGTAAGTCTTTAATTTTTCAGCAAAATTAACCATAGGCTATTATTGAAGTCTATCTGATAGCAAACATAAAGTAGTTCACAATTATACAAAGAATCAAGGGATATCTTATACATTAGAAAATAAATTGCTACTATATATTATGGAAAAGGAGGCAGCTGAACTTCTCCATGCCAGTCTTCTTTATATTTGACTGCTTCTTATATCCCTTCTCCCTCCTCAATCAGAAGGAGTAACGTGATAGTTTAGAAGCAGAGTTCAGTAAGGGCCAGACTTCACAATGCATAGGATTCACATTAAGGGCAGGATTCACACTTTCTCTTTGATCTTCCTGGCTCAGACTTTGGAAGTTCACAGTTAGCCAGGAAGGCTGATGTTCCTCTTTCTCTAAGTCACTGTGACTGGATGGGATCTAAAGGAAGCTTGGGGAGTCCTGGTCATCTTTTCTCTGAATAGTTCCCTGAAAAGCATAGTGAATATTGCTGTTTTAAAATTTAGGGGAAATAAAAGGGACCAGGATTATCTGGGGAGTACAAATTGCATGAAACTTTTCAGGCTTTTATCCCTATTACTTAACATGATTGTTCTACTATGCTTACTGTTACATTTTAACTTCTGAGAACATCTGTTATGTGTATCATGTCCTCAGGAGTCCTTCAAGGAAAAGGAACAAATGTCAGGCAGAATTTGCTGGTTTCTTTTCCTACCCACAATACCATTAAAATATCCAAATTCATATTGCATTTCTAAATATCATTTTGATTATAGTATCAATCTAAAATTATTGTCTATCAAAGACAATCCCTGCATGGCTATAGCACCTGCCATGTATAGTCTGGTTTACACATATATATACATGTATGTATATGATGCATATATCTATATATGATGCACATATATATGATGCATATATATATATGACGCCTATATATATATACATATATGAGATAAATTGGAGCTACCATATTAGTTACTTTTCTGGCAAAAAACCAGACCTTTTATACAGTTTTTTACAGACTCATTAAATAGTTATCCACTATTAAGTTACTGTGTACCTTTTGTGGTATCTGGGCAAGAGCTGATGCAATCACATTGGCTCTTTCTTCTGACATGTTACTGACCATTGACCCCAATGAAAACACCACAATACCATTTTCTCCAGAGCTCTGCACATACTCTTCCATTTCCTGTGAAAAAAAAAAAAGTTGTTCCATCAAAAAAGAGCAGCAGCATAGCAGACATTATTTAAGGGATTGATGAAAGTAACTAAAGAGAGAAAATAAGATATAGTCTGAAGATATTAGAGTAGTGGCTTTTTAAAAAATATTTTAGAAGGACACACATAACATAAAATTTACTTAATCATTCCTAAATGTATAGTATAATAGTGTAAATTATATTCACACCATGCAGCCAATCTCCAGAACTTTTTCATCTGGCAAAACCGGAAGTCTATGCTCATTAAAACACTCCATTCCTTCTTTCTCTAGCCTCAGGCAATTTTCATACTACCCTGTGTTTCTGCAAATGTAACTAGTCTGGATACTTCTTATAGGTTAAATCCTACAGTATTTGTCTTTTTCTGATTGGTTTATTTCACTCAGCGTAAGGTTCATTTATTTCCTTTTAAAGATAAGCAATATTTCATCATTGTGCATATGACATTTATTTATTGTTTTGTCTCTTGATGGGCACTTGGGTTGCCCAACTTCTTGGGTCCTGTGAATACAGCTTTTACTTAGATGTTGTGCAAACATTTCACCCAGAGGAATTGCTGAGCTGCATAGATAGGTTTTATACTAGAAAGTGTACATTATTCTTACCGCATGCTATATAGCTAGTTTATAGACTGATTCCCTTTCCCTGCACCCCACTACGTTCTTGAACATTTGCATCTTGGACTTTGGTCACATATGCTAATAAATATTTAACACTAAAAAATACTTTAAAATATTTTGAGTAAACTATATTTTCAGTAATGACAGTTTTTTTTTTTCTTTTTTTAACAGACTTCATCCCTTGGAGGTACTTGGAGGGAAATGGGTCACATGAGGTCATTTCTTTTATTATGTATAATTGTGCAAAGGTGTTTGTGTATAAGCAGGAAATGAGATAGAGCCAGTACACAGTGGTGACAAGGAGGTACTGTTAAATAGTATTTTACTCAGACTCTGCATCAGTTATGTTGTTAATTACTAACATAGATTTTTAGAAGCTACACTGCAGGGTTTAATTCAATTGTAATTCCCTATTATTATAGGTCTACTAAATCATTTATATTCCAGGAAGATTTTTTGAGAATTATTTTAGGTTAGTCATTAGTACTTCATTTCCCTATTCAGTTCAGTGCAGTCACTCAGTCATGTCCGACTCTTTGTGACCCCATGAACCACAGCACGCCAGGCCTCCCTGTCCATCACAAACTCCTGGAGCCTACCCAAACTCATGCCCATTGAGTGGGTGATAATATCCAGCCATCTCATCCTCTGTCGTCTCCTTCTCCTCCTGCCCCCAATCCCTCCCAGCATCAGGGTCTTTTCCAATGAATCAACTCTTCACATGAGGTGGCCAAAGTATTGGAGTTTCAGCTTCAGCATCAGTCCTTCCAATGAACACCCAGGACTGATCTCCTTCAGGATGGACTGGTTGGATCTCCTTGCAGTCCAAGGGACTCTCAAGAGTCTTCTCCAACACCACAGTTCAAAAGCATTAATTCTTCAGCGCTCAGCTTTCTTCACAGTCCAACTCTCACATCCATACATGACCACTGGAAAAACCATAGACTTGAGTAGACAGACCTTTGTTGGCAAAGTAATATCTCTGCTTTTTAATACACTGTCTAGGTTGGTCATAACTTTCCTTCCAAGGAGTAAGCATCTTTTAATTTCATGGCTGCAATCACCATCTGCAGTGATTTTGGAGCCCAGAAAAATACAGTCAGCCACTGTTTCCACTGTTTCCCCATCTATTTGCCATGAAGTGATGGGACCGGATGCCATGATCTTAGTTTTCTGAATGTTGTTGAGCTTTAAGCCAAATTTTTACTCTCCTCTTTCACTATATAGTCAACCAATATTCAACAAGGGAAACAAGAATACCCAATGGGTAAATAATAGTCACTTCTTTATTTTTTGAGAAAATTGAATGAAAAGCAAAAAAATGAAATGAGGCTCTTATCTTACACCACTCACAAAAATAACTCAGAATGAATCAAAGATTCAAGCATAAGACCAGACACTATGACACTCCTACCTACAAGAAAACAGGGATGAAACTCCCTACATTTGATTTTGAAAATGATTTTTGATCTGATATCACAACCACAATAAAAGAAAAAAAAAATCAACAAATTGGACTATGTCAAACTTAAAAGTTTCTTCATAACAAAAGAAGCAAACAACAAGATGAAAATGCAACCTGCAGAATGGAACAAAAATGGTTCTGTAACCACATATTGATCAAGGAGGGTAATATCCAGAATATATACAGAACTCATACTACAAAATTCAATTACAGAATGGGCAGATTAACAAATTGACATTTTCCAAAGAAAATGTCCAAATGGCCACCAGGTATATGAAAAGATGCTCAATACACTAATCATCAGGGAGGTGTATTTCAAAATCACAGTGAGATATTACCTAACACTTGTTAGAAAGTCTACAACTAAGAAGAGATGTGTTGTGAGAAGGTAGAGAAAAGTGTCCCACTATCAGTGGGAATGTAAACTGTTTAGCTCTTAGAGAACACAAAATGAAAATTCCTAAAATAATTAAAAATATATCTTCTGTATGACCCAGCTATCCCATTTCTGGGTATGCAGCCAAAAAAATAAAAATAAAAACAGGATAGCAAAGAGATATATATGCTCCCATGTTTATTGTAGCATTATTCACAATAGGTAAGAAACAACTTATGGGTTGTGGGAAAAAAAAAGAGGTTTCACACAGACACACTCAGAATGGAATGTTATTCACCCATAAGAAAGAAATCCTGCCAATTTCGATAACATAGATGGACCTTGAAGACACAATGCTAAAATTTGTGTTTTACTTCTAATCTTTATCTACTTCTATAATGAAATATGAATTATGACATATATCACAAAAATTGTAATTTTAGCTTACATTCTTTTTTAACCTTCAGGAAAATTGTGCCATTTTAATACATCTTATTTTACTTATTTTATTTATTTATTTATTTATTTTACTTATTTACTTATTTTACTTCTGAACATCTCATTATAGCTGATTTAGTGCAATTAGCATTTTTATGAAAATATAGATTTATACATACATTCATTTATATTGTTGAAGAAGGTTGTTCATTTTAGCTAGAGCCTTAAAACATACAAAAATATTTTAGTCATCTAGCTCACCTGATTGCCAAAACTTAAATATTCTTAAAATTAAAAATTTTAACTTAAATATGTTAAATTAAATTAAATTTGCTTTAGTAAACTTTATTAAATTTATTAAATTATTTGCATTACTTAATTTTTTAATTTAGTAAACTTTTAAAATTTATTTTTTAAAAACTGCATGGGACTTCCCTGATGGCTCAGTGTTAGAAGAATTTGCCTGCAATGCAGGAGATGCAAGTTTGACCCCTGGGTCTTGAAGGTCCCCTGGAGAAGGAAATGTCAACCCACTCCAGTATTCTTGCTTGGGAAATCCCATGGACAGAGGAGCTTGGTGGGCTACAGTCCATGGGCTCGCAAAAGAGTTGGACACAACTTAGTGACTAGACAGCAACAATGGGGTATCTACTTCAGCAGCTTTCTCAATAATATAATCTTGATTAGGAAAATCATCTCAATTTCAGTAAGATTTTTTGGCAAACATTGGGTTAAAGATAGTATGTTATAGTAACAAAATAAGAATAATGAAGATAGTTAACATTTCTTCTGGATCATTAGATGCTACTGACAGTTTGGATGTTTCAACTGTACTTACAATTTTTCCCTCAATGACAATGTGAGGTTGCTACCATTATAAGATTTAGTCTTGTCCTGTGGATTTGGGTAGACTCCGGGAGCTGATGATGGACAGGGATGCCTGGCGGGCTGTGATTCATGGGGTCGCAAAGTCGGACACAACTGAGTGACTGAACTGAATTATCTCTATGAAGATGTTGCCTGTATCTTGGACAACCTGCTGAATATTCCCCTTTCCCACTCTCTACCCTTTACAATCCAACCCAATGACCACATCCTGGTTTTTTTGTTTGTTTGTTTGTTTTTTTAAGGATATGTGACTATATCTCTTTCTTATTCCTTTCAATGTTCTTGCTGGTACTCCTACTAGACGTTTCTAATGTCAATAATTATCTGTTTTCAATTCACTTCACCAGCATTATCAGCCTCTTTACTTAGCCTCTTCTTGTTTAGCCTGAACTTGGACTTCTTGGGAACTGTCATTCTCTACCTGCTTTTCTTTTCTCTCTTCTTCTATCCCTGCCCTATCCCTTCTGTTTATTCATGACCATCTTTCAGATCTTCCTATGATTCATGCTGGGTGTTTCTTTAGCACAGTAGTCTTTTCTTATTATAAAACTTTTACACATTTTTTATGACTTCCTTGTATTCTGTCTTTCTAGGTGGAGTGTCCGGTGGCAGAAACTGTCTACACCGTTTCTCTATATTAGCACTCCCCAAATAAGTTATATATATAATTATCCTATAATAGGATAATTATGCTATTATAATTGTAACTAATATTAAGTTAATATTAAAATATGCATTATATATTTACTATATTTTTGTATAATAATATAACTATAAATGTCTGATACTTCATTATGTGTTGAATAGTGAAGTCATAATTTAACATATTCTCAAAGTGCCTAGCATATTCTGTTTATTCTGTAATGTTAATAAATTTCAGATACTTGTGTTGACATAGAAATATATCAATTTCTAACTGGAAGTTCACTATATCCAGCTTCCCACATCTGACTCACTGAAATCAAACATTTTAAATAAAGAATACAGCATGATTCCTATTGAAAACACAAAGTTAACAAAGAAGAACAAAGAGGAGCCGGTGACCTTAGGCAGGGGTTTGGCAGGTTTGCAGTGGAGGCCTCCAACAAATTCAAAATTTGGTAGCCGTGGGCGAGGAAATGAAAAATCCCAATAGTTTCGAATGAGCCACATTTCAGCTTTCCCCATTGTCTCAACTAATGTAGTGGGCCTTCCTGAAAGTGAAAATAAAAACAAAAACAACAACAAATGTTGGATCAAATGAGAATATTGCTGTGTGTGTATATATTGTGCTTAGTGTCTCAGTCATGTCTGACTCTGCGACCCCATGGACTGCAGCACTTCAGGCTCCTCCGTCCATGGGGATTCTCCAGGCAAGAATACTGGAGTGGGTTGCCATGCCCTCCTTCAGGGGATCTTCCCAACTCAGGGATGGACCCAGGTCTCCTGCATTGCAGGTGGATTCTTTACCATCTGAGCCACCAGGGAAGCCCATGTTAGGTAAGTTAGGTAAGTTTTATAAAGGACTTTGGGTTGATGTGACTGAATATGTTTCAATGTAACTGTTTGACAAATATGCAACATTAGATAGGATGATATGATATAATACTATTTGAAAACTCAACTACACAAGTAGAAATAATTTCTAAATGCTACCTAGATACTTGAGCTACAAATATGTGTTTAATTATCAGTATACATGTCTTCATTTACCAAGACATTTTATGAGATGTTTAGTGATTCAATTTTTTAAGTTAAAAAAAAAGGACTTTTGTAAGTTGATAGATAGTCAGTTACAAAAGTACTACATGCTTCAAATTGTGGTATATGACCTCCTGGTATCCATTACTAGTAAAGGGCTACAAGTTTGTACCTCACCCTGTAATTAAGTGTTTTCATTTCATGATATTTATAAGACTGATTGATATTTTATATTTTTATTTGAATGTTTCACTTATTTGGGACAAATTCCAGTGAATTTATATTTATACAAACTCACTTTCCAAGGCTCTATAAAGATAGGACTTAATGCTACCAACTAAACACATGACTTACCTAGTACTTCACTGTAAAACTGATTCCACTTCTTCTCATTGAATGCCTGGAACCAGAAGTCAAAATAGAGTACATATATCATATTTTTGACCCTCTCCATAAATGTCATGTGATCACTTAATTCTGAAAACATAACAGGTACATAGGATGGTGGGAATGGAAGCCTTCCACTCTTCTTTTCAACTGAAGATCCAGGTGAGGAGTACAGACTGTACATGAATGGTATTTTAAGTATCTCAGCCAGCAGCTCACCACAGGGTCCAACAGCATCTGCAAAAATGATATCAAACCTCTCTTCATGCAGTTTTGTCATAAGTTTCTTATTTGAAACAACTTCTCTGCAGATCTTCATTAAAATATCAGAATATTCCCAGAATAAACTTTTCACTGTTGAAAGATGATTCCAAAAGGAATCTCTCACCGCACGCATCCATTTCCCAACAAAAAGTTTGAGAAAATCCTCATTTTCTTCTTTAATTAAAGATACAGGGAAAATCTCCAATTTGAGAGAAGATGGTTTTTTTGAACCAATGAAAGTGGTAGCTGAAGGTATCAAAACAGTCACCTCATGACCCCTTGTGACAAGTTCATCCAGAATTGTCTTCATATTCATCCAATGACTATATTCCATTGGCCACACCAGCACCTTTCCACAACTGCCAGAGCTAAAGTAGCAAGTCAGTTGTAGCAGCAGCAGAAGTGAGAGCCACTTCATAGACATCTTGTTTATATGCAGTACTTTAAGTAGTTACTGCAGATTTTTTCTATTGCTCAGGCTTATATACAAAAGACATCAATCAGAAGTTAAATTGTAACTCTTATGCCTAAAGTAATTAGATTATGCATACAGTCAGCAGATGTGGAAATCAGGTGAAAGGGCAAAGTGTAGAACACTTTGAGATTATGAAGTGTGTTTAATATTGTTTTATCACCACTGTCACCAATCTAAAAGTTGATGAACTTTTACATGCAAATCAATTATATTATGTGAGAAAGAAGACTAGTGTAAATCACTGTAAATGAGAGGCTCTTGTGTCTGCTGTTTCCTTGACACAGAATTAGAGAAGGGTGACATCAACAAGATGCATGGTTAGGAGGTCCCAACACCTGTATCTTTCACAAAAATAGCAAAACCAATAAATGAACAACTACAAATTACTTTGGGAAATTTCTGGACTACAATGAAGAAGCAGCAGAAACCCTGTATATTGCAAAGTCTGAGGATCACCATGTAGAAAAGTGTAGAAAAGAGTTTACCTCTCCCACCCCTTCCTCTAACTCAGAGGAGCTTGGCACTGCCAGGGATCCCCTCAGAGGGATTTCAGCCCATGGGGAAAAATAGTACAGGGGAATTCCAGCAACCTCATCATCATGACCTTTGCAGCCTTTGCTTCTGAGCACTTCCACAGTGCACACCTACACTGATTCAGCTAACAGAGCTTCCCAGGGTCCCTGCTGCTGGGTCTTTCCTGAGGCTGAAATTTAGCTGTGGTGAGACCTGATCTTGGGGTCAAGGAGTCTCCCCATCACTCTGAACCCTGCTTTCCCTGATTGAGGTGTCACAGTGCCTTACCATCTGTGCAACTGGAGTTTCTGATCTGTGCCTTGCCCCCAGGTTTGTCTTATAATAACTGTGGCCATGCTGCTGTTTATTTGGGTCTCACCCTGTTAGTCCTAGTCTTGGTTTTGACTGGCCATTACCTAGGCTGAGCTGCTGCTGTTTTACACACCATTCCTGGGTCCTGAGTCATGGCTTTAGCCTGTCATTGCTGGGGCAACAGTGCAGATACTCTGTGCCTCACCATGGGTCCTAGTCAGGGTTCTGCTCCACAATTACCATGTTCATACCACTGCTTCTCTGTATCCCAGCCATGGGTCCCAAGTTGTGGCTCTGATAGGTCATTACTAGGAACATACTGCTGATGGTCTGACTCCCTCTGTGGTCAGAAATGGAACTTTGACTCATCATCCCCAGGCTGTGCTTCCCAGGTATAGCACCTGTCCCCTGGGCCTGAGCCACTGCATAGCCCTGTCATCTCAGGGCCTTTAACTCTGATACATTCCCCTTACCTCTAAAATATATTAACAACATGTCATATGTCTAGAAATACAACTACATGCATGTTTTACATGCCTGCTTTTTATATTTGTTAAGAAAGAATAGGAGAAGATAAATGCACTTGTGTGTGTGTGTGTTTGTGTGTTAATTTGTGTTAATTTGCTTCTGTAGTGTCCGACTCATTGCAACCCTATGGACTGTAGCCTGCCAGGCACTTTTGTCCATGGGATTCTTCAGGCCAGAATACTGAGTAGATTGCTATGCCCTTCTCTAGGGGACTCTTTTTGATCTAGGGATCAAACTCATGTCTCTTATGTCTCCTTCGTTGGCAGCTGGGTTCTTTACCACTAGCACCATATGAGAAACCTATATGCACTTATACTGTCTTACATAATTTCTTACCTTTACCAGTGCTCTTTGGTTTATCATGGTGATTAGAATTGTAGCCTGGGTTTACTTTCTTAAGCCATAGGCTTTCCTTCAGTTTTCTTCTGTAAGGTAGATTTCCCAGCAATGCATTCTTTTTAGATGGATAAGGGTAGAGGGCTCTCTATATTTTGCCCTCAGTTTTGAAAGAGTGTTTCATTTGATATCATGAGAAATGCTGGGCTGGATGAGTTAAAAGCTGGAATCAAGATAGGTGGGAGAAACATCAACAACCTCAGATATGCAGATGATACCACTCTAATGGCAGAGGCAAAGAGGAACTAAAGAGCTTCTTGATGAGGGTGAAGGAGGAGAGTGAAAAAGCCGGCTTAAAACTAAGTATTAAAAAACTAAGATCATGGCAATGGCTCCATTACTTCATGGCAAGTAGAAGGGGAAAATATGGAAGTAGTAACAGATTTCCTCTTCTTGGGCTGTAAAATCAATGCAGATGGTGACTACAGTCTTGAAATCAGATGTTTGCTTCTTGGCAGGAAAGCTATGATAAACCTAGAGGCTGTGTTAAAAAGCAGAGACATTATTCTGTTGACAAGTTCTGTATAGTCAAGGCAATGATCTTCCCAGTGGTCACATAAGGTTGTGAGAGTTGGACCATAAAGAAGGTGGAGAGCTAAAGAATTGATGGCTTTGAACTACGGTGCTGGAGAAGACTCCTGAAAGTCTCTTGAACAGCACGGAGATCAAACCATCAATTTTAAGGGAAATTAACTCTGAATACTTGGTGGAAGGACTGATGCTGAAGTTGAAATTCCAGTATTTTGGTCATCTGATGCAAACAGCTGATTCATTGAAAAAGTCCCTGATTCTGGAAAGATTGAGGGCAGAAGAAGAGGGTGTCAGAGGATGAGATGGGTGGATGGCATGAAAGATGCAAAGAACATGAACTTGGGCAAACTTTGGGAGATGGTAAGGGTCAGAGAGGCCTGGTGGCTGCAGTCCATGGCATCGCAAGGGTTGGACATGACTGAGCGATTGAACAATGATGACTTTGTTTACTATAGAATTTTTGACTGACAGTTTTGACCATCAGGATTTTGACTATATCATCTCACTGCCAGAGAGCATCCACTGTTTCTCATAAGATATAAGCAGTATCTTGATATTCTCTTGAAAGGTTGAATTATTTTTCTTTAGTGCTTTAAGGTTTACTGACTTTAGCTTTCTTTTGTGTATGTTAGTGTGCTTTATTATGTACCAATATTCTGTAACCCTCTGTTCATTTTTCGTCTCTGTTCTTTGGTTATATTATCTTATTGATCTATCTTAAAGTTCTCTTGCTTTTTCATCAGATTCTTATTCGTTCCCACTAGTGAATTTTTCATTTCAAATACAGTACACTTCAACTCAATAATTTCCATTTGTTATTTTTGTAAAATATGATTTTTATTTCTTATTTTTAGACTCAATTAGATGTACATTTTTATTATATCTTTATTCTTTAATCATAGTTTCATGAAGATAGGTCATATGCTTCCAACAATTTATACATTTCTCCTAAATTCTCCAATTTGAAGGAATATAATGATACCCAATAGTCTCTTATGATCACTTATATTTTTATTTTAGTTTCTCATTTTATTTATTCCAGTGTTCTGTCTTTTTGGTAGTTTCCTTTGGGTCACTGAACCCATTGACATTAGCCAACCATTAGTCCCTTTCATAAGCAGTTTCTATTGACTGGTTTTTCACCATTTAGGTCACGTGTTTATATTTCTTTATATGTCTTGTGAAATTATTGTTAAGATATTATCTTCAGACAATGGAGTGTAGCAACTCTAATTCCATGTCTTGTTACTGATATATGTTTAGTGACTACATGGACTATCTTAATAAAGTCTCTTTCCTTTACAGGGTAAAGTGTCTGATGCAGCTATTTGGAGGGTACAGCCACCACAATATTCACATTACCTGGGCAGACTGTGCTTTTAGTAGCACTCTTCTTTTAACTGTCTCCTTTCATCTCACATGCCAGTAAACTAATGCTCAAAGTTCTCCAAGCAAGACTTCAGCAGTATGTGAACCATGAGCTCCCAGATGCTCAAGCTGGTTTTAGAAAAGGCAGAGGAACCAGAGGTCAAATTGCCAACATCCACTGGATCACTGAAGAAGCAAGAGAATTCCAGAAAAACATATATTTCTGCTTTATTGACTATGCCAAAGCCTTTGACTGTGTGGATCACAATAAACTGTGGAAAATTGTGAAAGAGATGGAAATACCAGACCACTTGACCTGTCTCTTGAGAAACCTGTATGCAGGTCAGGAAGCAACAGTTAGAACAGTTAGAACTGGACATGGAACAACAAACTGGTTCCAAATAGGAAAAGGAGGACGTCGAGACTGTATATTTTCACCCTGGTTATTTAACTTATATGCAGAGTACATCATGAGAAACACTGGGCTGGATGAAGCACAAGCTGGAATCAAGATTGCCAGGAGAAATATCAATAACTTCAGATATGCAGGTGACATCACCCTTATGGTAGAAAGTGAAGAAGAACTAAAGAGCCTCTTGATGAAAGTGAAAGAGGAGAGTGAAAAAGTTGGCTTAAAGCTCAACATTCAGAAAACTAAAATCAATGCATCCAGTCCCATCACTTCATGGCAAATAGATGGGGAAACAGTGGAAACAGTGGCTGACTTTTTTTCTGGGCTCCAAAATCACTGCAGATGGTGATCGCAGCCATGAAATTAAAAGACGCTTACTCCTTGAAAGGAAAGTTATTACCAACCTAGACAGAGTATTAGAAAGCTGAGACATTACTTTATTAACAAAGGTTCATCTAATCAAGGCTATGGTTTTTCCAGTAGTCATGTATGGATGTGAGAGTTGGACTATAAAGAAAGCTGAGCGCCAAAGAATTGATGCTTTTGAACTGTGGTGTTGAAGAAGACTCTTGAGAGTCCCTTGGACTGCAAAGAGATCCAATCAGTCCATCCTAAAGGAGATCAGTCCTGGGTGTTCATTGGAAGGACTGATGTTGAAGCTGAAGCTCCAATACTTTGGCCAACTGATGTGAGGAGCTGACTCATTTGAAAAGACCTTGATGCTGGGAAAGATTGAGGGTAGAAGGAGAAGGGGACGACAGAGGATGAGATGGTTGTATGGCATCACCGACTCGATGAATGTAAGTTTGGGTATGCTCCGTGAGTTGGTGATGGACAGGGAGGCCTGGTGTGCTGCAGTTCATGGGGTCACAATGATTCGGACATGACT